CAAATGTTCGCAAGACAAGCTCATGTGCCGGCTCACAATCTCATCTGCATCCCACCCGCTTGGCCTTTTTCCTGCTGGGGGCTGGATCAAGTAGGACCACTCAAGAAAGCAAAGGGCGGTTTTGAGTACATCTTCGTGGCGATTGACAAGTTCACCAAGTGGATCGAATACAAACCTCTCGCAAAATACAGCGCGGCCAAAGCAGTCGAGTTCATCCAAGACATTATGCACCGCTTTGGCATGCCCAATCGAATCATAACAGATTTAGGCTCCCCCTTTATAGCCACAGAGTTCAAAAGTTGGGCGCAAGATTGTGGCTTCAGCATAGATTACGCATCAGTCGCACACCCAGAAGCCAACGGACAGGTAGAAAGAGCCAATGGACTCATACTAGCCGGGTTGAAACCAAGACTGTATGAAGAACTAGCAGACTATGGATCAAAGTGGATTGAAGAATTACCCAAAGTAGTATGGGGACTACGGACCCAAATAAGCAGAGCTACCGGATACTCGCCTTTCTTCTTAGTTTACGGATCAGAAGCTGTACTACCTGCCGACTTGATTTGGACGTCACCAAGGATAGAACAGTATGACGAAGGAAAAGCAGAACACACCAGAAGATTAGAACTTGACACTACAGAAGAAGTCAGGGTAGACGCTACCCTTCAATCAGCAAGATACCTCCAAGGATTAAGACGCCACTACAACAAGAGTACACAGCCTCGATCACTACAAGTCGGAGACCTAGTGCTAAGAAGAATACAAAAAATTGACGGACGCCATAAACTACTCAACCCATGGGAAGATCCTTTTATTGTCTCAAAAGTCACTGGACCAGGCACGTACAAGTTAATGACTGAAGATGAGAAAGAAGTCAGTAATACATGGCACATCAGCCAACTAAGAAGATTCTACGTATGAAAACAACTCAAGAGAGAATACATGTACAAACCACAAGAAATCAACGTTCATGGCCAATAAAGATGTTGTCCCTCGACAAAATGTGTATTATGGCTTATCAAACGATCATGATCAATAAAGATGATTTTTTGGCAACATATGTCTTATGATGGCTAAACCCCGAGTTGTTTCCAAAAGAGCAAAATGGCTGAAACATGCCTGAGCCTACCGGCCGAGAGCAAAATAGCCGAAAAGATGCTTGAGCCAGCCGATGAGGGTAGCCAATAAGCTAACACCCGAACCAAAGAGCAAAATGGCTGAAACATGCCTGAGCCTACCGGCCGAGAGCAAAATAGCCGAAAAGATGCTTGAGCCCGCCGATGAGGATAGCTAATAAGCTAACACCCGAACCAAAGAGCACAATGGCTGAAACATGCCTGAGCCTACCGGCCGAGAGCAAAATAGCTGAAAAGATGCTTGAGCCCGCCGATGAGGGTAGCTAATAAGCTAACACCGAACTAAAGAGCAAAATAATTTGAAACATGCTCGAGCCTACGGTACGAGAGCAAAATAGCGAAAAAGATGCTTGAGCTCGCCGATGAGGGTAGCTAATAAGCTAACACCGAATCAAAGAGCAAAAAAATTTGAAACATGCCTAAGCCTACCGACCGAGAGCAAAATATTTGAAAAGATGTTTGAGCCCATGATGAGGGTAGCTAATAAGCTAACACACGAACTAAAGAGCAGAATGGCTGAAACATGCCTGAGCCTACCGGCCGAGAGCAAAATAGCTGAAAAGATGCTTGAGCCCGCCGATGAGGGTAGCTAATAAGCTAACACCCGAACCAAAGAGCAAAATGGCTGAAACACGCCTGAGCCTACCGGCCAAGAGCAAAATAGCTGAAAAGATGCTTGAGCACGCCGTTGAGGGTAGCTAACAAGCTAACACCCAAAAAACAAAACAACCAAGCCTGAGCATGGATCAGGAAAAATTCAAGACAAGACCCTCTAGCTCCTTGTTCCAAACAGCAAGAGGCTCGGGGGCTATACTCAGTGAGTGCACCTTTTTCTTTCAAAAAACGCACATCACCAAGAAGATTTTTTCAAGACAAAACTACTTCAAGGACTCACGACAAAAAAAGTCGGACTGAGCTATACCCGAGTTCTTTTTGATAAAGAACCCGGGAACATGCACAGAAACCTTTCAACGAAGTTCAAAGACAAGACCCTCCAGCTCATTGTACCAAAAAGCAAGAGGCTCGGGGGCTACACCCAAATGGGAGTACTTTTTTCTTTAAAAAAGCACATACCACTCGAAGATCCCAAGAAGCGCTACATGGTTTCACTCAAGAAAGCACTCGGGCGACGCTTGTTCCTGCTCGGCAAGACCTGGAGGAACAAGACAAGGCTTCCGAAGTTCAACCATGAAGTGCTCGGGGGCTTGTCGGTGCAGGACCCACATGATACCTCGCAAGGAAGAGAGAAGATCTAGTCTAACTAGGATTCTCCCCATGTAATCTTAGTAGTCGTATTTTGTAATCCTACTAGGAACTCTTATTGTAAACCGACTAGGAATCTAACCTCCTGACTATATAAATGAGGGCAGGGTTCCTAGAGAGAGAACGATACTACACAATCAATCCAACGCAAAGGCTAACGCCGACTGGACGTAGGGCTATTACTCGACCACAGTCGAGGGCCTGAACCAGGATAAATCGACTGTCTCTTGCGTTCACCGTTGAGTTCCGCATACGCTGAAGCCCGAACAATACTGCCCCGGGGACCCCTGTGGCAGGCTATCGGTGGTAAAACATCGACAACACTCTAGCTAATACATGAGTACCATCAATTGCTCCTATGCAGTCCTAATTGAAAAACATAAGTGCAAGTGAACATTAACACTAAACAGATAATGCATGAAACCTATGTATGACAAGTTATGGATACCAAACTTGAAATAGGGATACCACCTTCTGCTCCCAAGATCCTAGGATGGACATTGGTAGCAGGAGGGACAATCAATTCATTCCTCAGCTCTCCTACCACATATAATACCTTTTGAAAGAACCTACTAATTGTCTCTGCGGACCTCCTGAAGGTGAGGTCAACCACCATAAACCTCTTATTGTGACCAACAACATGCAAGAACATGGCTACTTGTTCTTCAACAGATATATGTATGCTGTCAGTGACAAGCTCTCTACTACGGAAAAGGTCATAAAGTTGGAAAAAATGGGCCCTCTTCATTCTAAGAAGGTTGACACAGTGCACATCATCAGATTCATAGATGTATCTAAGGTTGTTCATCCTCTGTTTGTCCCTCTCAGCTAATGGACCATAGGTGACTGAGCGCGAATCTTCAACTCTCCTCCTAAACCACATGAAAAATCAAGCAGCCACTGCAACAACCACAGCAGCGGCAACCCTTCGCCTAGCTTCAAATGCCATGTCTACCAACAGGATGAAGGGCAACATTAGAAAGGGAGCATGCAACATGGGTGTGTACTACTTAGCAAGCAAAAAATCAAACAAAATGAACTATGAAAGACGCGTCTGCCACACCAAAGGGTGCTCCTCCAGCATATACTGTTACACAATTAACATCATTGACCTCTAGGCACTTTGCTCAGTGTGTACAACAAAATAGGCATCAACATGTACAAGATTTACACAAAACATGAGGTATAAACCAAATACGAAGCATCATGTACAGATCTGAGATAGGAACAGGTAAATCAGGTATAGCATCGTACAGATCTGAGAATGTCAAACTAAGAACCCTGATTTCTTGGCATTTTAAGCAAAATTCACCAACAAATCAACAAAATCGACAGTGAAGAAAGAGGAGGGGAAGAGCGCAGGTGGCATATATACTGTCCAAGCGCCGGAGGACCGAGAGAAATTCGCCGGCGAGGGTCGCCTCGGTAGGGCTACCGAGGTCGAGGGGGAGCAAGACGGGAGTTCGCACCGGAGCTATGGCGGAAGGAGAGACGAAGAGTGAGGGCGGTAACCCTAGCCGAGACCCACGTGCGCGCTTTATGGCTCGGACGGCCTCATCTCCCACGCTCGGCGCGAAGGTTCCCGCCAAGCACCGAGCGAGCCTGCACCGAGAGGGAAGTGAGGGATCGAGAAGGCGGCGACGTCCAGGATGGAGGAGCGAATTTGCACGGGAGGAAGGAAGAGAAAGATGCGAGTAGGACAACCAAACATAGACGAATGCACCAAAAAATGTGGGATGGACCAAATAACGGTCCGGTTCGGGCAACCAATCACGCCCTTAGAGAGCGTCGTCTGACGTGCCGGGTCGCCCGTCACCACCGAACCTGTCAACTGTCAAGGTTCAGCATCGACACAAGACGGCGTAGTCACCTGAGAACGGAAAGCTAGCGAGCCGCTTCGCACGGTTGCAGTCATACCGTTCTGCTATTGATTTTGATTTTGACCAATTACGGCATTATCACGCGCGAGAAAGCGACCGCAGTAACCGAAAGGAAAACAAAGCCAGGTGAGGTGGCCGCTACTTGACCACACACGCCGCCTGGCGCCTTCGCACACCTTTGCCCACAGTTCTGATAACGTATGTTTTCAGCCTTATAAACCTGTGGGTCCTTGGTAATTCTCTGCTTCGAGAAATAAGGAAAGAATGCAAATATGCAGTACTTCTTTTGAACGTCGAACACAGCAGGCACTCGAAAACCAATCATCAGATAGAATAGAATCAGACGAAAAGACTTCCTGAAATTAAACATCTGGAGGTCCACATTTGCCAAGAGAGTTTAACATTACATGCTCCATCAGGCATCTACTAACACACGCAAGTGGGATCAGCAGCAAAAGCTCCACGGATCCACCAGCCGCCGCTCGTCCGCCACAATGCAGCAGCAGGGGGCAGCAGTATAAAACTTGCTTCAGAACAAGACCTAAACCTGTACAGATACAGAAAGAGAGAAGGAGAGAGCCTGTCTTGACTGTCATGCTCCTGAGCCACCACAGTGGATCATCGGCAGCACGCCCACAGAGCACACGGCTGCCCCTGCACAGACTTTGGTGGTTGACTGACAACAGCCGGGCGCTCTGAATGTGGTTTTGCTTCAGCAACCCTAGCTAGGGTTGGACGAGGAACCAGTGAAAGGAGGGGACTGGTGTGATGGCCATCGGATCCTCTCTGGGGGGCAGGGAGCAGGGGCAGGATGCGCGATGAACGTTGGCATGTCTTGCCCCGGCATCAGAACTGAGACGCCTTTGGGGTAAACAGGTATCTGCAAACATCATGAAGAAAGCGGTCAATGAGAATGTCTCAAGTGAGCCCACTGTGGCTAATGTGAAAAACAAAAATGTGGTATATTTCGATGGAAGCATGATATATTTTAGCAGAAACAAACATGCAAGATATTTTCATGGAACTGAAATCTGAAATCATGATATTTTCATACAAGAGCAAATGCTAACTTCATGATAATGAAGTCGAAAGGCTTCCATTTTCACAAGAAGAGGTTCTTGTGTAAACTGGCAAAAACTACAAGATTGAGGTATAGGGCAGTATTTTACACAGATGAGTTCAGCAGTTGCACAATAGATATGGTTTTTCTGCACTTGGTAATTTCGCTATGTCATGAGAAAACCAGGTCTAGAAGAGGCTATCAATCCTACTTGTAGTCACCATAGTTAAATAGGCAAAATGGTTCAGGCCAGATCCTCTAGTCTCCTGCAACATAGTTTAGCATTTAGTTTTTTCACACCTCCCCCAGTGAACACTAAAAGTCGATCCTGTGCACTGGTAAGCAGGAACTAATGCTGAACATGAGTTGAATACAGGTAGTTGTACTGTCCACTTTTGGGTACAGCACTACAGCTTGTCGATTCAGTGTGCTAGTTTGCTTACAAATTACAATTAATGTACTTTTCCACCACTGATACACTAGAACACAAGATGATGTTAGCAAGCAGTTAGTGCAAAATTTTGATATTAGTTATCGCATGTAGTGTATAGTGCATACTTTTACATTACATTGTCTGAACTCTGCATAGCAAAGCAATAGACTTGAAATTGAAAATAAGGACAGTATGGATCTATCTACCAGCCAGCTTCTACAGTAAACTGAAATGGATGTTTCAGTAGTTGGATAGGAAAAGTTCTAATTTTTCAAATTGTTTGAAGAACGTAATTTATATTTGTGGTTTGGTACACCTCTCATGAGAGTAAATGTTTTTTTTTATCTCCATGGTCTAACCCACTACTACAACAGTAACTAAGTTCAACTGCTGATCCATCTTTTCCTCAAAAAAACAAAAAACAAACAAACAAAACTGGTAACCCATCTTAATAATAAGATGCTCCACATTACCACATTACTAACAACTTTCAAGCAGCAAAAATGATGACTGCACCTGGGACCTTGTGTAGCTGTGGTCCTGTGGACAACCAAGGTTGCAATTCCTAAACTACACTGGGACCAAATTTTGGTGTGGCTGCAGACAAGGATGGGCCCTTGTCTGTTTGCTGCTGTCAGCCAAATTTCCCTCTCAATTCCATAACCCATGTTCTCCTTTCTGAAGGATTATAGGCCCCAATCTTTTATGGCTCATTCGCTATATATTCCTTCAGAGAAATATGAAGATTCTTGTGACAAAGTATACAGATGCATTAACTGAACTTAGCCATAGGATAAAAATTGGGGAAGATAGAGGGAATGGCATTCAAGGATAGATGCTAAATCGAACATTCTTGGTGCCATTATCTACTCTAACCTCTCATGGCACTGAACAAGTACTTCTCCCCCACTTTCCAGAGACCAGTATAAATGGCAGCGCTACCAAAAGAAATTAGTAAGAACGAAATTTCTAAAAAAGTATTGATGCAAAAGCAGAGTATGTACATGATGGGCATATATGAAATTGGAGCAACCAACAATGGCATGCCCACTAAAATAATTAAACGACATGTCCTAATCTCTCGGATTACATCAGTCCTAGTAGAACTCAAGTGCATATTTGAACAACAGCTTCTATGTTTTGACAACACCAAAACGTCTACTAGAATGTGAATATCAGATAAAAATAGCTTCCTTTGCCTTTTTTAGTAATGCAATGCATGACCTTTCCCTCTACACAGATAAACACCTAGTATTATGCAGCGAATCATAATAGGGGTGGTACTAATTTCTAAACCTACGGGACTGCAGTTGCACGATCTCTTTAACGGCCAGTTATTTAACAGCTACAGGTAAGACATCATTGCAGTTTCATCTTCCTCGCTTGAACTAGATGCCTTCGCTCCACTCCATCGCTGCATTATGTTCGAGCATAGCAGAGACTAGAGGACGACAAGAACCGGGGTCCGACAAGATTCGCAATCAGGTCCATCAGATGCGCAGACACACAGAGTAGCGAAAAGCAAGCCACGCGAGAACAGAAAGCTGAGGAAAAAAGGCTAGGCGACGGAATGATTAAAGCGTGGCGCCATGGATGGGCGGGAGGCCAGGAGAGCGTGCGGGAACAGTGTGCCGTAGGAGCCAGTACCTCGAGGGACGCGTGGCCTTGGAGCTTCCTCGCCGCCTCGAGATCCGCGCCGGGGGCGGCGCCGCGCTCGCCGCCGCGGCCGAGGAAGAGGCGGAGGCGGCGCAGGATCCCCCGGGGCGGCGCGTGCCCGTGCCCGGGCCCGGGCGCGTGGGCGGGGGGGCGGAGGAAGTGCTCGAGGATGGCCATGGCGAGGAACATGGACACGAGGATGGCGGTGGCCACAAACCCGAACGACACCGCGCTCACGCCGCTGTCTAGCTGCCGCCACCGCATCTCCTCCGCCGCCGCCCTCGCGCCCGGCACGGCCGCCGGCGCCATCGCAGGCCCGCGCGCCACCGCAGCCATTCTTGTTATCCCGTCTCCAGCGACGCCGGTCACGGCCCGCGATGCGCCATTGCTGGCTCCCTTCGCTAGCAGTGGAGGTGTGGAGTGGCTTCCGAAACCGAAACCTTTATGGAGTTCCTGGCTTTCTCTGCCTCGTCGCGCGCGTCGCGTGAGTCGGCGGGGGCGTGGGAGAGGATTACAGGACGAGGGGGCTGCGACTCTGCGAGGAGGGAAGGGGGGCCGGGCACGGAATACACGACGCGTCCCTTTTCCGCTGCGGCGCTGAGCAGCAAAGCCAGAGGGGAGGCCCTTTTGGAGAAGTAGTACAAGGCGGGGCAAGGGGCATGAAAGGCATTTCGTTGCGACGGTGAATCGGTGATGCGCCCGCGGTGGCAACCGTGGCAGTGTGGCACAGCACAGGGCCACAGGGGGCCTCGCACCGGGCAGAGGTTTCATCGGCTCCGATGTATTTTCTCACTGGTGCCAGAATTGCCCCTAATCTCGTCAGGGTTCGAGCAACCCACAGACTGGATTCGGGAATTGCCCCAGTCCTAGCTGTATTATATTATCCGATAACTCGTTACACGAACCAACAGTCCTGTAAACCCTGAAACAGTGCCATGCTCGCCTCCCACGAAAATGAACTCCGAAAATGAACTCCGGTTGATCTCTTCTCACGACCCTAGTCGCTGGAACCTGGAAGGCTCGTCCCGTAACTGTAATCCCGATGAAGATGGCAAAAAGTTCACTTTCACGGCACAGGCGGCTTGCGACGTTTGGCAATAACCGTTATTTCTTTTAACCCATGGCACAAAAGTACGTGTCATATTAGGGCTTGTTCGGCTGGTATTAAAGCCGGTTGATAAGCCGGCCTTGACTAATTTTTTATGAGAGAAAAATACCGTAGACTCTAGTTGATAAGTTCAAGCGAACAAGCCCATTATCTGGAGTACTCTGTTATCATTAGTGTAGATGAAGAGTTGTACTTCAAGGAAAAAGAAGATGAAGACGAGGATGAGGATCGACATATAGGCCTGAATATAAAAGCGCACACATCTTATTTACTCCCTCCATTCTAAATTACAAAATAGTTTTTCTAGATAAATTAATTTTACTTATATATTTCGACATAGTATATATCTAAGTGTGTAGCAAAAGCTATGTAAAAATCAAAACATTTTATATTTTGGAATGAAGGGTGGACAAATTAGTCCGTGACGTGCTCAAGTAATTGTATATGATACCATTTCGAGATGGCACATTGGCATCGATGTTCAAAATAAGTTGTATACTTTTTCATACAAAACCCTTTGTTTTTTCATGGTTTCATTAGTGTAAAATCACCTCTCATAAAAATTACTTCGTATCTGGTGAGAAAAGCTACCTAGCTACTCATGTATTATGGTATGGTTTGGTAGAGCTCTAGAGGCTCCGGGTATGGTCCTTCTTTGCAATGCAATGAGGAGTTGTTTCTTTTTTTCTCTCTTCCCAAAATGAACTAGGAGTTGACGAAGTCACTATACGACTTCAGCTTCGGCTCCGACAACAACTTCTGTGGAGGAGTCAGACCAAACACATTAGGAAGAGAATCTATTCTCTAGTGAACAAGGAGCCAGAGCTGGAGGTGTTTTTTTTTCATCGATCTCAAGGTGGAGCTGCAGTTGGTTCCTCAAGTGCTTCATCTCCCCCCGGATAAGCAATCGAGGAGGAGCCATGCCAAACACGCACTATTTTTAGCCTCACCGACTCTAACTCCTTTGTGCACTGTTGCAAAGAGCGAAACTTCCAGAGCCATGACAAACAGAGTCCATATTATTTCTCTTTTTAATTTAATGTTTTGTTTGCTCGGCGCCACTTAAATATGACCCCAATTGGATTATCTAAAGAACTTTCACCAGCCCTACGCCTCTACGTGATCCAGATAGAACCATAAGCTTTCGGAAACAGCTTTTAACAGTCTCTAGACAACTTCACAATTCATCTCTCCTGGCTTTTAACATCCGCGATCCACACAGAGCTTTAACAATCTTTAGCCGATCCATTCAGGCCTGCTTTGGTGATTGGACTTGGACGTCTTGAATGCCTTGACCCTATGGTCTGCTGCTACTCTGGTTTCGGCTAGAGGCTTGAGGCATACTAGAGGGTGCAAGTTTTATATGAAAATGATTTGAAGTATGAACTGACGTACCAACTGTCCAACTCCAGTGTCTAAATAGCGGACAACTATAATTTCACTATGATTTATAGTTACTGTAATTGGACTATATTTGAAGAAAAAAAAAGCTCATATGTTGCCACATTCATATTCATGAATATTACGTATTATATGAGATATAACAGTCAAGTGTAACGTTGAAGACTATGTCGAGTCAAGCAATGCCTTAAATATAAACGGGAAGTATTATGAAACGGAGGTTATGACACAATACTCCCCGTTTTCACAGTACTTGAAAGAATCTTCAGAGGAAAGAGACCCGCGTAGCAAGGGATCGGAGGATGCAATGCATAACATACTTGGGTTAGTTTAGTTGACCCTTTTACAGAACTTGAAAGAATCTTCAGAGGAAAGATACATACATGACTGTAAGGTGCATGTAAACATTGGCCAATGGCTGTAGCTGTACCGTGTACGTGCTACGTAGAGCAGCTGTTGAAGTTCTCGTTGGCCAGTCAGCAAGCCGAGCGCGGATGGCAACAAGAGCTCAGATCTGCAGGATGCAGGCCGCCCTGGCAGATAATGACCTTCGATTAGTAGTGTCACCATCACTAAACAAACTGGTCTAACGAACCTTATCGTGACACAGGAGTAAAATCTAAACAAATGAGCGTCTCCCTCGCCGCTTCCACCGGTACATGATGGGGGCGAACAAGGCTCGAAGCACGCTGCCCTGGATGAGTCATCCGATCGGAGCCAGGACAAGCATATCCTTCCGACGCCTGTCACTCTAAACAAAGGCAAGTGTCATTTGGCCGCGCGACCCTTCGCCCACCTGAGTACCTGACCCCGATCACGCACTTCGCTGCATGCGGCTGCTGGCTCGATGCATGGCGTAAAAGAGACTCCGTTTTCCGTCAGCTACGTCAACAAGCCAGTCAGCAAGCCGAGCGCAGATGGCAACAAGAGCTCAGATCTGCAGGATGCTGGCCACCCTGGCAGATAATGACCTTCGATTAGTAGTATCACCATCACTACCCCGTTTGGCCGGGCTCCGGCGGCTCCGGTTCCCGCACTGTTCACCTATCGGCTCGTGAGAGGCCGATAGGACGCTACACTATTCATCGAAGCCGTTTTTCTCTCTCCTCCTTTCCTCTCTCACTCTCACTGACACCGCCGGAGCCGGAGAAGCTCGTTTTTTCGGGCTCCGTGGCTCCGGCTCCCGTTGGCACCTATCGGCTCGTGAGCAGCCGAAAGAATGCTACAGCAAGGTTTTTAATTTCGGTATCGCCAAAATTTCGGCCACCACCGAAATTACTGAATTTCGCGAAATTCGGCTGAAATTTCGCCGAAATTTTTTTAGAGATTAGCACATGAAGTATGTTTTTTCTTAAAAAAAATTGGATCTAAACAAATATTAGTATGATTTATGACTACATATCTATTAAATAGAAGAATATGCAATATAAACAATAGAAAAAATATAAGATTAGAGTTATATAGCACATGTATTAGTGTATTAAAAAATTTCGGAGTTTTCTTTCGGCCACCACCGAAATTACCGAATTTCGTGAAATTCGGCCGAAATTTCACCGAAATTTTGTACCTGCGCTACAGTGCAGGAGCCGGAACCCGCGGCAGCCCGGCCAAACGGGCCCTAAACAAACTGGTCTAACGAACCTTATCGTGACACAGGAGTAAAATCTAAACAAATGAGAGTCTCCCTCGCCACTTCCACCGGTACATGATGGGGGCGAACAAGGCTCGAAGCACGCTGCCCTGGATGAGTCATCCGATCGGAGCCAGGACAAGCATATCCTTCCGACGCCTGTCACTCTAAACAAAGGCAAGTGTCATTTGGCCGCGCGACCCTTCGCCCACCTGAGTACCTGACCCCGATCACGCACTTCGCTGCATGCGGCTGCTGGCTCGATGCATGGCGTAAAAGAGACTCCGTTTTCCGTCAGCTACGTCAACGAGTGGGACAAAAACTTTTGAAGCTTTGCGACTTTGAGAGTCCTACTACTTGACGAGGAGAAAGGGCCCGCGTACCAAGGGAGGATCGATGCTCGCGAAACGGCGAAAGTAATTAACTCCCCGTATGTGTTGAGAGGCTCGTCGTCGTCGTCCAAATGAGCGGCGCTACGGGACTTGTTTGTTGTTCAGTTGTTCAGAGGCTGTTCCGCTCGATCTTGCCTGTGATTGTCTGGCGTCGCTTAGCGAGTTAGCACCACAAGCGAACAAAGTCACAGGGTCATGTTTGATCCTCGACCTCTCGATCCGGTACTTTTGACATCGAAGAGACGCTGCCTGCACGGCGCAACAGCACAAGTAACACCACCGTTTTGGACGATCAGAGTCAACAAAACGGTAAGTCTTAATTTGTCTTGGTTCGTCGAACTCGAATCCCAGGAGGCAGAAGCATATAGAGATTAGGAGTAGACGATCCAGAAGGAAGTCTTCAGTCTTCTGTCATCCTTTCCTTCCTCGGTCCTCCGTAGAAAAATGCTCGTGCGCCCAGCACACTAGTTTCAGGGCGGCGGTATGCAGAACGGGGAGCATCCCTCGTGCAGATCAGTAGGAGCTCCATAAATCCCGCGGGCTCGGTACACGCATCCCCAACTGGCATAGCCCCCGGATGCATGGCCTGGCCGGGCTACCTGCTACTTGGAGTATATCCATGGCAGGAAGAAAGACAACAACTGTACTGTGCTGCCCCAAGCATGGTTACACGCTGCATTTCCGAGTTACCGAGTCCTAGCAGGAAGAAACACTCATGCTCTGGAAAAGAGAGGGTAGAGAACATGTGCTAGTGGCGGTCGGTAGCACCGTTTGGACTTACTGACATGCGAGGCATGCGTAGATC